GCCGTTATTATGTGAGCACTTGCCGTCCAAACAGTCCCTGTAACAATCACCCTCCCAAAATTACATATCAACCATTCAAATTTCACATGAATGGAAATGATAAAAATCGATCAATTTATAATTAAGGAAAAAGAAGCTTCATTATTGAAAAGTATGTATCGAAGCATTTCTCGTACCAATAAAATGTGAAGGCTGCTATAAACGAGAAAATATTCAGATCTGCCGGAGCGAGGCCGCCGGAGCATCATATACGTAGGAACTAATTTAATAACTTACCGGTTCTTTTGAGGCGGCCATCGTCGTCTAAGAGCTTGGTGGACGGCGGAGCGCCGGCGACTTTCGAGGAATCGAGCTGAAGTTGGCTCTGGTGCTTCTGCAGCAGTTCCCCGGTTTCTCTCATTGGCCGTTTTTTTGGCTATGTAGCTTTGTGTGTGTGTCTTTGTGTATTCAACACTTCCCCTTCTTATATAGTGTCTGGAAATTTGTTTTAGTAGAGGTAGGAAGGGGGAGGGGGCACAGATAAATATCGTGAGCATGATGGGGTCCAGTGCAGCAGATCCCCCCATTTTCAAATGTGCTTCGTCATGCCTGGACGTTGGAATTAGTTGTAGAGAGGCTGAGATTTGTTTAGGGCCCACGCCTCTCATGCCTACCCACACTCTCACAGAATTCCCACTAGGAACCGGTTCACCCAGCCTTGACGAATCCGACACAGAGTCAGAGCATCTTTAATACAGCCCCGTTTGGTACCTTGGTTTGTCTGGTTATTATTATTTGAGACTGGTCAACGTCACCCTTCCCCTTTGTAGTGCCCATGGAATCTGTGAAAGTAAATCGTTTGATCAATAGTGCGTATCGTTTTTCTACTGTTAACATGGAATGCGAAATATATATACTCCGTGTATTAACAGAGATGGTTGCAACTTGCTACGGCGAATATATGAGACGATTTTCAATAGTAGGAGGAAAAATTAAATTACAGTGTCTTGACTTCAATTATTTTAAGTACAGAATAAGTATGATATAGACACCAATTAAGGTTCAAATGGCTCGACATTAAGAACAAAATGAAATAAAACAGAAACGACTCTTTCCTGGTTAACGTTTTTGGCTGATAACTCTCACTAAATTCGTCTCATTCATATTCGGTGATACTTTTAAGATTCTAATTTATTATTTATTTATTTAAAAAGATTCAATATTGAAAGATTAATTTGTTAATGATTCAAAGTGAAAACGACAATTTTAGTATTGGTCAAGTGCGGCTACATTATTACTATTATTGAATTGTGAGCAGCATGAAAGTGAGCATTTCATTAATGAGTTATCGAAAATAATACTCTCTTCCTCCAATTAACATTTTACAGTCTTCAGTATTAATGTTTGATCATTGATATTAAAAATATACACTTATAAAACTTATACTCCCTCCGTCACTTTTTATTTAACCAAACAGTATTTTTCAAGCCAAATTTGTTCAACTTTGATCGATTATATATTTATACTCGGTAATATTGATAATATGAAAATTATATGAAAATATTCTTTGTTAAAAATATTATTGTTAAAGTATAAATTTATTAATTTTTACATAAATATATTAGTTAAAGTAATGGATCAAAATTTATCATCTTTGACTGGAAAAGTCAAAGTTTAAATAAAAAGGAACGGAAGTAGTAATAAACTAACATTTCAATAATATGTACTCCGTATTAAAATAAAGCAATCAAAATTATAGTATGATTTTTTACTAACTAACAATCAAAGACAACAAAATTATAGTATGATTTTTTACTAACTAGCAATCAAATTGTGAACTTAAATGTGGGACATGAGAGTCAATTATTAAGTAGCCAAAGTGAAAAGGATAATCTTGATCATACCATACTCGGGTCTGTTTGCAACAGTTTCTACTTTAAAAAAAATTGTTATTTTAATGAAATGGAGAGAAGTAATTAAATAAAAGTTGATAGTGTTTGAGAAAAAAATGATTTTGAAAAGTAAAAGTTGGTAGTATTTGGTAAAATAAGTGTTTTGTGTAATAGAAAAAGTAAAAGCACTTTTGACACGAAAGGCGAGAAAAATAAAAGTTGGTAGTGTTTAAGAAGTGTTTTTTTAAAACATTTGCAAATCTAACCCTCAGTGTTATTATGGTTGCCTGCCTGTGTTACGTTTTTTTTGCTAGTATATGTTCAACTGTTCCGATCTTCACTTGAACGTGTGATTCAATTATTCAAATTCACTTTGGATGTTACATCGTGATATCAAACCACAACATGTTCACTTAAGATTTTTTTATCAAAGCAGTAAAAATGAAAATTAATTTGAAATAATGACAAATAATGTTATGGACTTCTAAATGGATAAAGATAAGACTAGTTTTAGTTTTTTTGTTGAAGAAATCAAATTAATTAGCATTAATCAGGTCAAAAGACTAGTTTTAGTTTTTGACAGAAAAGAGATTAGAAATAATTGAACAGACTAAAATACCCTTCTCCCAAACAACGAAGTGCGAAGGGGCGAATTGACTAATCCAAGCGTTGATGGTGACAAGTCCGAGTGGGCGAGGACGGTAAGGATGAATCATGATAAGCTAATGTTACCTTTAGGTTTCAGCGGCTAGATTCATTCCGGTAGCGAGGGTTTTGGGCAAGGGTGGGCATATCAGTTTTCAGTTCGGTTTTTATCGGTTTCGGTTTGGAACAGGTTGGAACAATCATTACCAATGTAAAATCAAACTAATTAGTGGTTTGGTTCGATTTAGTTTAGTTCGGTTTGGTTTAGATTTGTTAATTTGTAATAATATACTAAGGTTTTTTGAAGTTCTTTAGTTTGGTTAAGTTTTGTCCGATTTTTATTGGCTTCGTTTCAGTTAGGTTTAAAACGATTTGGGAGAAATAATACCAAACTCAAACCAAAATCCATATGGTCCGGTTTTGGTTCAGTTTAGTTCGGTTTGGTACGATTCGATTTGGTTAAACCAAACCAGTATACCCACCCATTTTGTTGGGCCAGGGTCGGTTAAGATATGGTTGGGTGGTGGTGGGGCCAAGGGCTGGTTAGGTTGGTCAGAGCTGAGATTGGGGTGGTCACAGCTGGATCTGGGGGGGGGGGGGGGGGAGGTTATGGTGGTGGGATGCAAATGTTGAAGGGGCGGAGCGGGAGTGAGGGTGTGGGGTGGCGTTTGTTCAAGGGATGAGAGCTAGGGATGGGGAGAGGGTTGGGCAGGGGGCAGTGATAGCAGGGAGGTTTGGGGGCTGTAGGCTGGGGTTTAGGTTGGAGACCGTCGGGGAGGCTGGACGCCGGAGTGAGGGAGGTGGTGGATCACCGACGCTGGTAGCTTGCGGTTGGCCAACAATGGTCACTATTGGATAGGGTGACGGTAACTAGACGGATAAAATGTTATCTATTCAGTAATCATTCTATTATTGAATTTACCCTTTTACGCATTTGTTTATGACTTGGCGGTTTTTGTCTCCTCTCCCCCACGTTGGGATTTAGTTTTCGCCAGCCTTTCTAAGCTTGTGCGGTCAAAGAATTCCAGTCTCGCACAGGCTTGGTTTGTTGTGCCGCAATGTTTTTTTTTCACCGGCCGATCTATGCTTTGTGTGGCTAGGAGATTTCAGCCTCACGCAAGCGTTGTTTTTATTCGTAGGTTCGTCTTCAACTGCTTAACACGGCAAGAAGAAATTGTGGAGTCCATTGTTGAAGATAACTGCGCTTCTACCATGCTTACAAGGGATGTTTGAAGAAGACAGTCTCTAGGTGGGAGATTGTAAGGTGTTAGAGACAGTTTCTTAATTTATTTTTGGAAACACGTTTCTTAATTTATTTTAGGAAACACATCCTAGTTGCCTTGGGGTTAGGATTTACTTCTTTATAAATACAAGCTCTTTCTCTTGTAATCATTGTGTGTGGATCCGAAAATAGCAATAATATTCCTGGTTTGGTAGGCCCCCCAGACATAGTCATTCGTGGCGAACTGGGTTACCAAATTTTCGTGTGTTCTTCGTTATTGTTTCTTTTCGTGTGCGTAAATTAAATTCCTAACAATATACACTATGAAAAACATGTTCACAAAATTTTATCAAAAGATTTCATCCGAAGCAACCTCAAATGGAAGCGCCCTATGACTACTTCTAATTAGGCGGACTAATGAGATAATTTATCCATATAAGAGTATCTCCAATAAATGGCAAAAAAAGTATGGAACGTCAAACAAGCTTCTTCAAAATACCACACATTTGAATTGTTTTCAAATACATTTCCCAACATACGGGCTTGGGTTGGGAAATACCACACATTTAAAAGTATACTTGTATAAAGTTGGTGCTAAAACAACTTTTTAAAATACCACACATTTAAAAGTACCGGGGACAGAACTCCACTCTCTATCTGTCAGATTGTGATTATACATGACATGGTGCTAAAATAACTTTTTATATAAAGTTTGGAGTATTGAAATTACTCATGCAAGTTTGGGGTATTTATCTCACACTCCTTCAAAGTTTGGGGTATTTGAATTATTGTCCCCTATTATATTTGTATTAATGCTAAAATAAGTTAAATTTTATTATTTATGCAATAATTTTTTTTTAGAAAGTAAGAAATGAATGGATTGTATAATTTAATGTCAGCAAACATTTATTTTATGGATTTACTTCACATGATCTAAAAACGGTTTAACTAGTGTGTCTGGTATTTAATATCGTTTGATATTTTACAAAATTGAGTACTAATTATAATTAAACATTACAAAACTAGAAATTTTTATATAATATCCTAATTAGGTCTTAAACAATGAGTGTTCTATTGCTTATTCGTTTAAGTTATGCAAATTATTTTAGTTGTTTCTTCTTCTAAATCTCTAATTAATTATTACATTATTAAAATTATATATTAATTTTGAAAACTAAAAGTTAAGAGGGGTGAACACATATATATTTATTTAAAGTATGCAAATTTTATGAAAATATTAAATTATGAAAGTTCAAGCCCCCCCAATCCATCCACGGATGAGTATATATGAGGTTCATGGTTTTCGGAACAATATATTTGAGTTGTTTAAGGAACTTTTGAGATGTTAGTTTTTACTTGGAAAATAAAAGACAATGTACATATGGGCTAGGTAAATAGAACGTGTTCAATTCACAAAAGAAAACTCGTCTAGACTAGAACGTGGTCCAATACAAACACTATAATTTAACCTTGTACATTTTGCATTTCACCCAAACTGACATTCGAAACTTAGGCACACCCTATCTACACCTGGAGACAAAATAGTGGTAACAAGACAAGCAAATAAGCAATCTCTTATAAAGGTTTCCAAACTGTGAGGACTTCATGAAACATTTCGAGCATCAATTCTCTGTCAGCCTGCCTGAAGAAGATATTAATTTCTTCCCTCAAGTCATAAATCTTGCCAAAGTCGAACAAATATGCCAAGCACCCTTTCTTCAGTTTATGCAGCTGGTAAATCCAGGCTTCTTGCAACCTCTTAAGAACATTCAGGGTGGTAATATCATCTAATAGACTTTCCTCACAAGCATCTTTCATGTCTGCAATGTCATACTTGTTTGCTGCCCCCAGCAGTGCCAATCGATGTTTCCAGAAATCCTCCTTTTTAATTGTCCCATATATGTATCCCAGAAGTGCCATGCATGAATCTGTTGACATGTCTTCTATGTTAATAACTGATGACACTTTCTCCTTTAGGTTATGGAGGAACATGCTGTGAAATACTGGAGAACTGGCAGAAAGAACTGCCTTGTGAGCTTGTAGTGATCCATCAGCTGTATTGATAGTTACATCAGCATGTATGGACTCATACAGCATGCGAGAGAGACACCTAAGAGTGGTTTGGGTAGCCATAGAATGCATCATACTGTCTCCAGGCCATATGGAAGTTCCCTCACCCTGTGATATAAAGACTAGGTAAATATGTCAACAACAACATCCAAGCCTTAGTCCCAAAAGAGCTTGGGGTCGGCTAACAGCATTACATACAACATCCAAGCCTTAGTCCCAAACGATATTGGGGTCGGCTAACATGAATCGATATATGATATCACCAAAAAGAAAAGAACGAAAATAAAGATAAAAAAGATAAGCTATTATAAAAAAAGATAATATAAAAGAGATGAATATACATATAAAAGATCAAATAAAAAGGATAAAGTAATATTTATATATAAGGATAAAAATATAAAAGAAAAAGAAAAAAAAAAAGAGGAGAAAAGATGATACAAGATCACTCTTCCACACGAATAATCGCCCTCCATTTTGCTCTCTCCAAAGCCATACTCTCATCCAATCCAAGAAGAAGCATATCACTTCTGACTCCCCTAACCCACGTCTGTTTGGGCCTTCCTCTCCCTCTCTTCCCTACCTCTTCTCCACACATCTCAACTCGTCTGAGAGGTGCATCACTCAGTCTTCTATGCACATGACCAAACCACCGTAATCGTGACTCCCGCATCTTATCTTCAATAGGTGATACTCCCACCCTTTGTCTAATTGTCACATTACTCACGCGGTCCTTTTTAGTATGCCCACACATCCAACGCAACATGCACATCTCTGCCACACTCATCTTTTGAATGTGACATTGTTTCACCGCCCAACACTCCGTGTCATACAGTAATGCAGGCCTAATTGTTGTCCTATAAAATTTACCATTCAGTCTAGTCGGCATACCTCGATCGCATAGAAATCCTGACGCACTCTTCCACTTCATCCACCCTGTTCTGATTCTATGGGATACATCTCCATCTAACTCACCGTCCTTCTGAATTATGGAGCCCAAGTAACGGAACATATCGCTGACCGGTATCTCCTTACCATCTAAAGTAATTCCGCTATTACCACTGCTTCTACCTCCACCAAACTTGCACTCTATGTACTCTGTCTTGCTTCTACTTAGTTTGAAACCCTTGTTCTCCAATGTTTGTCGCCATACTTCCAACTTTGCTTTAACCCCTGATTGCGTCTCATCAATCAATACAATATCGTCGGCAAACATCATGCACCACGGTATATGATAGGAATATGAAAGAGAACTGAGTCTGGCAGTTTAAGAGTTGAATAAATGATAGGAATATGAAGAGAACAGAGTCTGGCAGTTTTAAGAGTTGCCTCTCTCCCAGTCCCAGCCCAAGCCAAAGCCAAAAACCAGCCTGACTTTTTATTACAATAATTGGCTATTTATAATAACTCCCCCTCCACCCCCTCGACTTCCACACTTAGTTATTTAATATTCTGTTTTCTCTTTCTGGAATACACCTGACCATGATAGTTAACATTATTATTAACACCAGGCTATCATCACTCCCCCCTGAATTGACCACCTTGCCCTCAAGGTGGAGATCAGGGAATTGGTGCTGCATCTGCTGGGCATCTTCCCAAGTGTCTTCAAAATCAGGCAGATTCTCCCAATGAACCAGCACTTCAGCTTCACCAGTTGAGTTAACCCTGCTCCCTTTGATAGACTCTGGCTTGACTTGCAGCTCCCACTCCTCTGTTAGGCATTTTGGCAACGGTTGTGTTGGGGTAGAGGTAGGGACAGCCTTCTTCAGCAGTGACAAGTGAAAAACTGAATGAACCTTGCAGTCTTCCGGTAGCTTTAATCTGTAGGCCACTGGATTAATCTGTTCAATCACTTCAAAGGGTCCATAAAACCTCGGGCTTAGTTTTTTATTTAACCTCTTAGCCAAACTTTTAAGTTTATAGGGCTGGATTTTCAAATAGACCCAATCCCCCACTACCAGCTGCACATCCCTTCTCTTCTTATCAGCCAATTGCTTCATTTGGTTCTGAGCAATTTCCAGATTGTGCTTTAATTCATCTAGAATTTCATTCCGGGCAGCTGTTAGTCTACTAACCTCCTCCACAGCTGTTAATGACACATCGCCACGAATTAGAACGGGTGGGTCCTGCCCATACAAAGCTTTATAAGGGCTATTCTTGGTTGATACATGATAATTTGTATTATACCAGAATTCAGCCCATGGCAGCCATTGGGGCCAATGCTTGGGCCTTTTCCCTGTCATGCACCTAAGGTAGGTTTCCACACATCGGTTTACCACCTCTGTTTGTCCGTCAGTTTGTGGATGATAGGCTGTGCTATATTTCAACTTGGTGCCCGCCAATTTGAACAATTCAGCCCAGAATACACTCAAAAAAACACTGTCTCGGTCTGAAATAATGGTCTTAGGAAATCCATGCAATCTGACAACTTCTTGTATGAACAATTCTGCCACTCCTTTAGCATTGTAAGGGTGAGTCAATGCTATGAAGTGTGCAAACTTTGTCAACCTGTCCACCACCACCAGAATAGTATCTTTACCTTGGGCTTTAGGCAAACCTCCAATGAAATCCATGCTGAGGTCTGTCCAAATCTGCTTAGGAATGGGAAGTGGATGAAGCAATCCAGCCGGGCTCAGAGATTGATACTTATTCCTTTGGCAAACATCACATTGCTGAACATACTGCTTTATGTCTGTTCTCATTCCTTCCCAGTAAAACAAAGAGGAGATTCTCTTCATTGTCTTAAAATTCCCAGCATGCCCCTCAATAGCAGACTCATGAAACTCCTTCAAAATGCTAGCAATCCTTCAAGAATTCTTGGGAAGAACCAATCTGCCCTTATAGTACAAAAGACCTTGGCTAACCTTGAAGTGTGGGATGGAATCTGGTTCAGTCAGCAATTTCTGCAGCATGGCTTTATATTTCTCATCCTCCCTTAATTCATCCTCAAGGCCTTCCCACTCCTGGCAAGTAACAACAGACAAGGAATAACAAAATCCCTTTCTGGATAAGGAATCTGCAGCTTTATTCTCCACACCCGGCTTATATTTTATGACAAAATTGTACCCCAGCAACTTAGCCACCCATTTCTGTTGGTCTTCCCCTTCAGTCAAGAATCTTAAGCTCTTCTGATCTGTGTGGATTTCAAACTTTCTGCCCAACAAGTATGGCCTCCATTTTTGGACTGCCATCACAACAGCCATAAGTTCCCTTTCATAGACAGATTTTCCTTGATTTCTACTGGATAGGGTTTTACTCATGTATGCTACCGGCCTTCCTTCCTGCATAAGGACGGCCCCTATACCCTTCCCTTCCCTGATGCATCTGATTCAATGATGAAAGTTTGGTTGAAGTCGGGTACTTTTAACACAGGCAACTGAGTCATTCTCTGCTTCAACTCATCAAAAGCCTGTTGTGCTTCTTCAGTCCACTTAAACCCGTCTTTCTTCAGCAGGTCATTCAGTGGAGATGCTATTCTGCTATATCCCTGAACAAATTTTCTATAGTAACCAGTCAGCCCCAGGAAACCCCTCAACCCTTTAACATCAACAGGATATGGCCAGTCCAACATGTCAGCAATCTTACTAGGATCAGCTGCCACACCTTCTTTGGAGATAATATGTCCCAAATAAGCCAGTTGTGCTTGTCCAAAGGAGCACTTCTTTTCATTCACCACTAGTTGATTGTCTTTTAATAGCTGCAACACCCTTCTCACATGCTCCCAATGCTCCAGTTCTGATGCACTGTATATCAGAATGTCATCAAAAAAAACTAGCACAAATCTTCTCAAGAAAGGTTTCAGGACTTTATTCATCAAAGCCTGAAATGTAGAAGGTGCATTACTAAGGCCAAAGGGCATCACTAAATACTCATAGTGCCCCTCATGCGTTCTGATTGCTGTCTTATGCACATCCTCTTCTTTCATTCGTATTTGATGGTATCCTGATTTCAGGTCAAGCTTGGAAAAAATCTGGGCATTATTTAACTCATCCAACAGCTCATCGATGATGGGAATGGGGAATTTGTCAGGTACTGTGATTCGATTGAGGGCTCTGTAATCCCCACAGAATCTCCATCCCCCGTCCTTCTTTTTAACCATTAACACCGGGCTGCTATAAGGACTGGTGCTAGGCTGGATGATTCCTCCCTTTAACAACTCCTGTATTACCTTCTCCATCTCATTCTTTAAATATTGTGGATATCTATAGGGTCGTATATTTGGAATGGTTGAACCCACTTTGATATTTATAGAATGATCGCAGTCCCTCTTGGGAGGTAATCCCTCTAGAGGTTTAAAAACTTCAGGAAATTCTGTCTTAAATCTCTGAATCCAACCCAAGTTGCTTGGTTGTTCTTCCACCCCTTGGATTCCCTCAAATTGGTATAGGCAGTACCCTTCCTCCTGTTGAGGCATAGCTTTGACCAAGCTTTTCAGAGATACCACAGTTTTGCTCAGATGGGGATCTCCTTTGAGCATCATGGACTGGTTCCCCTCAATCCACTTAATAGATAGTTGATGGAAATTGAATTCCACATTGCCCAGACCTGACAACCATTCCATTCCCAAGACAAGTTCAGTTCCCCCTAAATCCAGAGTGTAGAAATCCTGGGTTATTATGGCCTGCTGCACCCTAACAGATAAAGCTTCACACCTTCCATTGTTTGTGATTTGTTCACCATTGCCAATCTCCACCCTGAACTCAGGAATGTGCAGTACTGGAATCCCCAGTTCTTGCACCACCCTGGCTGACACAAAATTGTGAGTAGCCCCACAATCTATCAATATCACAACCTCCTTCTTTCCTTTGCATCCCTGTATTTCACCCTTCCATTTGAAAGTCCTGGGAGTGGTCAGACCTTCTTTACTCATCAATGATAGCTGCATTTTTGAAGGCTCACTGATCTCCCTCTCCGGTGAAGCTTCAAAACTGAAATCCCCCTGTTCTTCCTCCTCTTCTGAATCATCTATCATCATAATCTGGAAATGTTTCATTCTGCAAATGTGGCCTTTTCCCCATTGTTCCCCACACTTGAAACAAAGGCCCTTTCTGCTCAATTCCTGCAACTCTGACTGGGTTAGCCTGTGTGTCCCCTTCACTCCAGCATTTTTATTGACTGCCTCATTGCTCTTTTCAGCACTGGATTTATCCATACCTGACTGATTGCTGGTCAAGTTTCCCTTCCATTTGTTTTCTTGCAACCATCTTTGAGATGGAGAAGAAACATTACCCTTTGATCCTCTTCTTTCTTCCTCTTTACCTTTTGTGAGGTTCAGAGTCTGGTTTCTTTCTTCTACCCTGGATGCCTTATTCATGATTTCAGTTAGAGTACTAACTGGATTCAGTTTCAACTCAGCTCTAACTTCTGCTTTCAGACCCTTCATAAAAATTCCTTTTAGAAATTGTACATCAGTGTTCTTCAACGGACTTGCCACTAGCTCAAACTCATCCCGATAATCCATCACACTCCCAGTCTGCTTCACATTAAGCAAAGGATCGTAAGGATCCTGTTCCAGGCCTGGTTCAAATCTTTCTAATAAAGCCTGTCTAAATAGTTCCCAAGTTCTAACATTTGAGTGTTCCTCCCACCATTGATACCAATTCAGAGCTCTTCCTTCCATGGCCAAGGTAACCAACTCAATCTTATCTACCTCAGCAATGTGATTCAGTTTAAAAAAACGCTCAACCTTAATGGTCCATCCGTAAGCATCGGATCCATTAAAGAGTGGCAAATCCACTTTTCTCCCAGTTTTCTCAATCAGTCTACTGCGGTTATCAGCATGCTTAGAATGGGTCGATCGCAGATTACCTGCGGTGGAACTGGAGTCGCAGCTACTCTTCCGCGCGCTGGCCTTGGTGGATTTTGATCGACTGCGATTTCGCGCGCTAGTTCTGGAGGAGTTGGATCGACTGCGCGATTCGCGATCGAGCTTCTGCATCACCAGCTCGAACTTGCGGTTCATCTCCTCGTCCCTGAGTCTCGCCTCCTCACGCTGTTCCGCCAGCTCCCGTTCCAACAGTTCAAGTTTGTCTTCCATGTTTCGTCGGGTAACAACCATAGACAGGCCTCACGATCGGAGCTTTGATACCAAATGATAGGAATATGAAAGAGAACTGAGTCTGGCAGTTAAAGAGTTGAATAAATGATAGGAATATGAAGAGAACAGAGTCTGGCAGTTTTAAGAGTTGCCTCTCTCCCAGTCCCAGCCCAAGCCAAAGCCAAAAACCAGCCTGACTTTTTATTACAATAATTGGCTATTTATAATAACTCCCCCTCCACCCCCTCGACTTCCACACTTAGTTATTTAATATTCTGTTTTCTCTTTCTGGAATACACCTGACCATAATAGTTAACATTATTATTAACACCAGGCTGTCTTCCCGCATCCCTATCAGTATATCGTCTTGAATTGACTTTGTAAGTTCATCCATGACTATGGCAAATAAAAAAGGGCTCAGAGTCGATCCTTGGTGCACTCCGATAGTAATAGGGAACTCCGCAGTCCTCCCTACACTAGTACGAACACTTGTAGTACTATCCTCATACATATCCATGATGATGCTAATATACTTGCGTGAAATGCCTTTTCTAGTTAAGGCCCACCAAAGAACTTCTCGAGGTACCCTATCATATGCCTTTTCTAAGTCAATGAATACTAAATGCAAATCCTTGTGAGCGTCTCTATACTTCTCCATAAGTTGCCGAAGAAGGTGAATAGCCTCAGTTGTTGAGCGACCAGGCATAAAACCGAATTGATTCTCTGAAATCTTCACCGTTCTTCGAAGTCTTTGCTCAATCACTCGCTCCCAAAGTTTCATGGTATGACTCATAAGCTTAATCCCTCGATAGTTGGCACATTCTTGTACATCACCTTTATTCTTAAATAAGGGAATAAGAGTACTCTTTCTCCAACTCATTGGCATCTTGTTGTTTCTCCAAATTTTGTTGAAGAAACAACATAAAATTTACATAATATCAAACATCAAACCAGACTAGATTTAAACAAACCATACCAAGTACTAGACCAATTTAAACTCAACAACAACATCCAAGTCTTATTCCCAAAAGAGAGAGGGAGTATGTATGTGCTTTCATTGCTAGATCCGACGCAATAGTTTGGTCATGAACTCACATTTTTTTGGTAGATCTTTAGGTCATGGAACTCAACATCAATGATGAGGTGTCCTTGAAGGTTGGAATCAATAGGCCAAGCAAAATCATCGCTTGACCGAAGAACTCTGTCAAAAACTGCAACACAAAGACAGAGGTTATTATGCAAATATATATAAACAGGTTAGGACATTTGTTCAGTGAAACTATGTTACATGGAGGCCCCCAAAGCTACAAAACCATAACCAGTACTGAAAATGGAGGGTGCTTTATTGCTACTATCTTCACATCGAAGGTTTTAATTACAGAAGAGTTCATAGGAATAACTTCACCTATTGGCAAAAATCTCAAGTATAATCTCAATCTTTTTTATACACCGCAAAGGGAGTATAAATGTATAATCTCAATAATCCATGGCAACAAGAGAAAATTCTGAAACCTATTTATTCAAACAACTCCTTTGAAAGTATTATTCTTTGTTGCTATTATCTTCACATAGAAGCCTAGAAGGTTATAATTACAGTAGAGTTTATAGGAATAGTCTCACCTACTGGTGTTCTTCCATACTATCCTAGATACTCGCAATTCAAGTATAATCTCAATAGTCCAAGGCAAAAATAGAAAATTTGGCGCCAATTTTTCCAAACAACTCCAAAAGTATTATCATTGCAATTTATCAACAATTGAATGTGATTATTATACATGGTTCCGTACAATACTATTACAATATTTATGATTCTATGAATATATCAAAGATAAATAGACACTCTTTAACTTTTTCCCATTGGAAAAGAAGTAAATACTAGAATATTACTAATCCTATGGAGCCCTCATTGCTCTTGTTTAACGGGTTCTTTCAAATAAATGGTTGCTATTTGTAAATTCTCATATGGTAATTCTCTTGAAAATTTGGAAAATTAGGTGCTAGTGGTGAGAGGGAGGAGGAGGAGGAGACATTAATTGGTACAATCGCAGAGATAGTGGTGGAAGCAACGTTGCCGAAGCCGCTAGAATGGTGCCTAACCCGCATACATACAAGTTCACAGTAGGAAACCCATTGGAGGACAAAAATTGAATTTACTCCTTTTTTGTCAAATGCGTCATTTTTGAACCTTTCTAAAAACAATTTGTAAGGTATAAATAATGTAATTATTCATCGTACTTGTATTTGTAAGTTTAATATTTTGTTAAGCTAATTTTATCTGATGTAACATATATTAAAAGAACTGGTAATAAAATGAGATTTGAAATTCAAAACAAGCACACATATTCAACACTTTGGCATCTATATTTGACCCATGATGGCAGGTAATAGATTAGAAGCTACTGAAACAGATTAAACATGTAACCTGTCGATTCTAAAGGACGATGTAGCTTGTGAAAGGATTAAGTAGTAGGTGGGTAGAGCTTAACAACAGTAACAAACTTACTTCATTATTTTAGTTACAAAATACAATTAGATATGTAGTACAACTCTATGAATATTTACCAATAATGTATACCAAGCATTTATTTTGAAAACAAACACATATTTATATTGGCATCTTTACATTAAATATTAAAGCTAATAGTCATGGTTAATATACACAATACTTTTTGTATTTAATAAATGCATTCAATCAAAATATCAAATGAAATGAGAAGAAACATCATATGAAGATATAGAGTTGGAATCTGACATGAAGAAATTGTTAATTTTACATTTGTGAATCAAATGTATTGCTGAATGTATGATGCATCACCTAAACGCTTCAGCTACAAATAGAGTAAAAAGAATAAAAATATATTTATTTTAACACCAACCACTCATCCAAATTTAAAAACTACAATAAAAAACTTTTTAAATTTTGTATATGTAATTATTTAATGTGTAGTTATGAAGTAACGGTCAGTCCATGCAATTTTGGACGCGATTTTCACTATGGATCATCTGGAAACAGTTTCTCTGTGCTTTAGTACAGGGGTAAGACTGCGTACATCTGACCCCCTTACCCTAACGTAGGTGATAATGATGTTGATGAATAATTAATGTGTAGTATACTGTAAGCAAAATTACTTACTATGATTCTTTTTAAAAACATTGTAAACATAAATGGCTGATTATTTACAAAATTAAAATATTAAAAAGTAATGCTATCTATTTGAGGTAAAATGTAAAACAATTATGGGATGGTAATATAGGTCATGTATATAATCTGATTATTCACAGTTACGAAATTTAGTTCATCGGTGGGCTCAATTGTCTGCACCAGAAATCTAAATTCACGACCAACTTTAGCTGACATCATACCAAAATAGAAAAATGTTTTTTATGCAAATCAATACACTGAATTTCACTAAATATACAATTTGGTGTCCAAACTCCAAACTAGTCATTTTAACCTATGTTATTTAATAGGTGAGTACTAGTCAAGAACTCCTTAATAAAATACTTCAATTTATTAAGGAGTTAAAATGACTTTTTCAAAGTTGTTAAAACTATAAAAACTCACTCAAAAGATGTTTCTTGACATGGAAGGAGATGAAGATAATGTTGATCTTGAACCAAGTGATGATTAAATTACAATTTAAGAAACTAGGATTGATTAGATGAAGTGATTTTCCATTAAAAAGTACTTCGTATATGTTAGTTTCTTTTTTGCGATTTGAACAGATAAATTTGATATATGTTGTGTGTTTAACTAAACATGAACCTAGTAATTGTATTAATTTTGAGTCAACCAAAAACTGAAAACAATTTTTTGGGGTTATTTTGGTTTTTAGTTTTCAAAAAACAGGAAACATAACACAGAAAACGTATGAAAAGAGGCCAGCTATTAAACAGCTATTAAACTAAGAGCAATTATATTTTAGGTGAATGAGTACTATTTTGGGAATTACACAGCAGTGGTCCTATATATGAATTTTATCTTTCTTTTAATCTTATTTAAGGAATTTTCCCCTAAAACAAACATAAGAGAAAGAGTGGAAAGAATGCCTTGGGAGATGAGGGGTTGGCGGTTGGTTGAGGGAGCGGCGACTCTTAGGACAAACTTTGCCCCTGGTGGCTGGTCCTTGGAAGCCCGAGTAGGTTCCGGGAACAGCCGAATATACACATATCTATTCTTCTCCACTGATAAGTGCCTGTTTACAAATGGTTGTTAACACTATTTACCAATGAGCAATAAGTGAATAAGCAAACAAAAAGAACAGTGAAAATAAATCACAGAAGCCAAATATGAACCAGCTTTCTCATCTCAGTGTATAATTACCAGTTCCAGATGCCAATTTTGAACGGGTCGGATCGTTTGTATGTTGAGGGTCCGAAATTCTCGATCTTCCACTGCGCCATCCTTGAAATCGTCTCGACCTTGGAGTCCGACATGATTGCTTCACTCTGCTGACACTCTTCTTCAGCCTCCAAGCGAGACGGGACCGAACTTTGCAGGTAAGTTTACTCCTCAGTGCTGGCTAGCTTTTGACTTCTTCTGACTTCCATTAATAAATGTACTCCCAATTGAATTCCAAACTTTGACCAGTACTAGGAGTAAGAGTAAGAAATGACAATAAATTATGTTTGCTTTTTACACTTTTATCCTTCATCCTAAAAGTATATGCATTTAAGTTGATGAAAAAAGTAAAAGTATGGGTAAATTTGTCACTTTACTCTTACTTACATACCTAAAGTAGAAAGTGGAAAATCATTTTGGGACAACCAAAATAGGAAATTTTGCAAAACAAATTGGGATGGAGGGAGTATGAATTTACAAACAGGACGATGTTCAATGAAACGGGCAATTAAGGGTTGTTTTGATCTTATTCTTAAACCTGCTTTGGCTCCTTCAGGGAATAGAAGCAGAAGTTGGAGTGTTTGGCTGAAAGTGTAAAAATGATTCTGGTGCTCTAATTTACTCCTAGAATCAGTTTTTTTAGAAGTTGGGGGGGGGGGGGGGGGCAGCTTCTGAAAACTGATTATGCTTCTGCTTTAAAAAAGAAACAGAAGCAGAATCGGTTCCAAACACCCCTAAAAAGTGTCCCTTTTTATCTTTTTAGGCGACATGCACATCATTCTAATGGAAAGAAAGTAAAAGTTTCATACCAAATTTTGGCCTTAAATAGTACTCCCTCCGGTTCTTTTTAAACTTCAGTGTTTGACTTCACAGTTATTAAGAAAATAAAGTTGACTTTACTGTAGAGTACACTGTTGAGACACTGTTTGACACTGTTGAGACACTGTTTGGCACTGTTGAGACACTGTTTGGCACTGTTTAGCACTGTTTAACACTGTTTTGATGTAGATTTCTTTGCCAAATAAGGAAATAAGGAAGTGTGAAGTTTATTTTGGACCGTCCCAAAAAGGAAAGTGTGAAGTTTATTTAGAACCGGAGGGAGTACATTATTACTCCCTCCGTCCCGTTAAAATTGTCTCATTTTTTCGTTTCGGAGAATCTCACTAAGATTGTCGCATACTAAATTTGGTAATGTTTGTGTGACTAAATTATTCTTACTTTTTTCTTATTTTATTAATTCAATATCAACCACATAAACTTATTTTTCTTAATAATTGTGTCACCTCCTCATGTCCTAATGTTAGTGGGACGAAGGTAGTATTTAATTTCATATAGCTATTCAGAAGCGAAGTTTAACGTCTGATATGCACAATAAGTCACCACACTAGCTAGACGACTGCCATCGCAAAGGATCGAACTAGAGACTTAGGACACAAGAACCTAGGGCTGGGACTTTGGAACCAAGAACCGGAGAACCGAACCGGACCGAACCGTTATGACCCGGTTCGGTTCGGTTCCAACATTTATTAGTTATTTTTTAACGGTTCGGTTCCTATTTTTTTTATTAATGATTCGGTTCTCGGTTCCTGAAAAAAAATATGTACTAGGAACCGTTAAGGAACCGTTATATATAATAATTAAAATTATATATATTTCTTATGAGCATATATATTTTAATATATATTTACTTATTTTTATATTACATTCATTATTTTTGTTTAGTTATTCAACTATTTAAAACTATTATTCACTTCAACCGGTTCTCTTAGACTTCTTAGGACTCTCATTAGGTCCAAACTCCAACGGGTCAGAACTTTGAAAGTCCAAGTATTTAAAATTATTATTCTCTTTAACTGTTTAAGCATATTTGTATCGTAATTTCAAACGTAGAATGTCTTTTTGGCAAAAATTTAGTCATGATTTGTAAGATTTTTTTCGAAGACTAGGAACCGTTAAATGACAAGAACCGAACCATTATGAACGGTTCGGTTCCTTATCGGTTCTATAAAATAATTTATAAGAACCGAACCGTTAGTAAAATTTCGTATTTTCAAACGGTTCCACATATTTGGCCTAGGAACCGAACCGGTCCCAGGCCTACAAGAACCCAAGAGGACTCAAATAAGCCACTGGTTCTTAAACGGGGGTGGTACGTCGTTCAACGCCAACGAGTGACGCAGCGAGAGAAAAAAGTAGGGAGAGTT